CAAATAAAAAGTGAGGATGCTTCCACTGCCTATAAATACTAATGAAGGTGGGTTCTTGGCCAAATGCATACTTAGACCTCCCTTTGAATGGAAACCCTGATATAACCTCTTTATGTGCACAAATTGTTGAGAAGTTTAAAAATTGAAAAGGAGGCTACTGTTATGGAGGAGCTCTCATATATCCAAATGAGGAGGCTTACGCTTATTCAAGCAACCCCACCAAACCTCTCTACTAACTTCTTGTCCCTCTTTGACTCTACAGAAACTTACTACAGAGAGGGGAACAGCGAAATTATTGGTTTACACCTAGGAGGACCTTTCGCTTTGGAAGCTGGATAACAAAGGTTCCTTTTCTACAAAATCTCTCTTGAAAGACATTGATAGTAATGGAGGAGGAACATAGACCCTCCTATATGAATTAATTCGGAAGGACCACTTCACAAAAAAGATTAGATTCTTTGTTCGGGACCTCAGCCACAACAGAAAAAAAACTATCATTTATCTCTCTACCTCCTCATTGCTCCCCATTAGAAAAAGGTGGAGACCCAAAGTCATCTTCCTACATTGCAAAATTATGGAAGTACTTTTCTATTTAATTGGTCAACACCTTTAACAAAGGAACCAAACTGCCTCCTCAACTATGCTCTTGGCCACCCTTCCAAAGAAGTTAAAATGATTCTTTTGATGAATCTCATTTGTGCTTTCTTTTCGGCTACTTGGATTGAACGGAACCAAAGGGTTTTCAATGACAAGGATCATGCTTTTGGTGTAAACACTCATCTCTTTTCAATTGTTATAGCTCCTCCTCTCTGTTAATAGAAAAAGTTCATTGTAACTCCATCGGCTTAGAGCTTTTCTCCCTTTTTCTTTTTCTTTTTTATTTTTATTTTTATAACTTCATACATCAATAGTAAATTTTTCACATTTAAAATACAAGAGTGTTCAAACTAACAGATTCCTAACATACCAAATAACCTACTATCAGCTGGTATACTAACTGGTTATGACTAACAAACAGCCTAACTAACCCATAACTAACTATTCTAGAATTTACTCTACGTCATTAGAGAACTTTGGAAAAGAAGTACAACTTTACTAGTCAGATTGTGCTTGGTCTTTTTTGCTGTATTTCTAAAACTGGATACCTAACAACTACTTATCAAATAGGACACTCCATTTGTCCTGAGCATATACAAACTTCTTGTGAAAAGGAAAAAATGTTAAGAATCTCACAAGATATGGAAGCTCCACGGTAGTACCTCCTCCATCAAACCTTTTTCCATCATGTGGAAAGTGATAAAGAAGAAGGAAGCCCCTTGGAAAATAGGTAGCGGAACTAACCTGGAGAGAAGAACTTGCAGAATGAAACTCTTGCTGTAGCATTTGAACATCCTTGGAGAGCTTATCTTCAGATTGAGAAAGACTAGCTTTATCTTCCCTTATTTTCAAGATGTTAGACATCAGAAATTTTCTCAGCCTAGCAATTTCTTTGTATGCTTCTGCGTCTTCTATGGAAAGTTGAGCAATTTTCTTCAACTGCTCTCCTTTGTCCTTTTCCAGATTGAGAAACTCATCAATTTCCCTTCTTTTAACTGAAAGAGATTGACTTTCTAACTGCAACTGGGAGAGGGTTGATTGTAAGGAATCATATTTCGCATCCATGTTTGAATGTACATGCTGAAAACCAGGAATTGCGACGGAAATTCTTTTCTCAACAGCATCAATCAGAGAATCATTTTCTTCTATCTCCCTCTTCTTTTCTTCCACCAAAGCCAGTAATTTCTCAAGTTCATCTGTCAACACGGCCTTTCTTTGACAAAGAACATTTTTCTCTCTTTTGTCATCCTCGACCAAAAGTTCAACAGAATCATTCAAAACCATGCAAGACTCTTGAATAATAAGTGACTCGATTTCAGTTTCCATCTTCTTGGCCTCCAAGACTTCATTTGACAAATGCCACTTTTCCAGTTCTTTTGCAGATTCTGCCTCTGCAGTATTTAAGCCCAAGACAACATCATTTGCAGCATCCTACAAAAAGGAAGAATAATTAAGAAGTCATTTCCCATACATGGAACCAACTTCAAAAACTAGAAATTGGTGAATGCTGTGGATTGCAGATCCTTATAATCTTTAATCAACCTCCAATGGCCTGTTTGTCTTTGAAATGCTCCATAACCAAAGAATTTGACATGTACCCCTATTTTAAGAAATCGCAGTGTGTTTTTTGTAAAGGCTTGACCAATTATTCCCGTCTTCGATAAAACTTGATTCATTAATACATAGCTTTCTTGTAATACAAATTGTGTATTTAAATAGGAACGAGTTCATGGTGTAAATGGAAGCGAATAAGAACTTCAAAAGATGAGGTTCAGGAATTATGCAGGTTATAGCAATTCCTACCAGTGTTAAAGAAGTTGACGATAGATGAAAATGTCTACTTCTTTGCTGTTCATGATTTTAACGTTTTGCATAATATTAAGAAGAAAAAGATACTTGTCTTTTTTCTTTTTCTTTTTTGAAAGAAAAAAAAAAGTATTTATCTTCTATCATAAAGTATTTTTCAATATTTTTCATAATATGAAAAATAAAAATTGGAAATCTGTTATTCTATCATACGTTATGATATAAAATGGGAAATAGAAGATCCAAGAGGCCCGTAAAGATGAAGATAGATATGAATGAGTCAACTAGATATCAGGGTATAATAGCAACAAAGTGACTTAATACTTCCTTCTCTTCAGAGGAAAATTTGTTGTATTTTTCTTAATTTCATATAGACATTGAAATTCAATCAACATTCCCCTTAAAAATTTTGTGAATACCTTCGTATTTTTCATCGTAAGAAATCCTATCATTTGAAGGACAAGGATGGAAGCCTACAGTCTACAGCTCTTTTAGACGGAATGTGTTGTGTGTGTGTGTGTGTATGTGAGTATACTGAGACGTCAGAAATTAACATACATAGAAATCCTATTTGAAACTGACCGTAGCAAAAGTTCGGAGCAGAGAATCACATTTTTCCTCCGTCGCAATCAAGAAGTCCAGAACCTCGTGCATTCTGGAATCCATTGCATCACATAAGGCTTCAACATCTTTTAGTTCGTTGAGGAAGGCTTGTTTTTCTCCCTCAGCAGAAGCTAGGCTCTCGCTGAGCCTTTCTGCGGTTTCAAAATCTTCGGCTTCGCATGCTTCCTCTAACTGCCTTTCAAGATTAGAGTACTTGTCTAATGAAATTTTAAGATTATCCATAATTTTGCGTCTCCGTTGGATAACATCCTTCCTAGAGGCAGATACAGAGGCGACCGAGTTACGAGCAGAAGTCAGGTTCTCAGAGATCTGGATTCTAACTTGCTCCAATTTAAACTCGGGTGAATTGCACACTTCAGTCTCAACGCTATTTTTTTCAAGTCGATTAGCATCTTGTTGATTTGGAGATCCCATTATGACATCTTCTTGAGATACAAAATTAGGGGATTCCATTTTGTCAACTGAAGAACTATGAGAGCTTAAAGTCTGTGGTGGAGAAGCAGATGGTTGGATCTTAGATAAAGCATCAGGGTCCTGGTCATTGTCATCGTCGTCATGAGTGTGATTATTGGAATTCGGAGAATTAAGATCGGGAGAGGGATTTGGGGTGTGGGCATCTCTGCCATAGCCAATTCGCAAACCAGGTCTCCTTTTCCTTCTTGAAATCTGTCGAGAGATTGAGACGACTCCTCGGTCTCTCTCCGTTGCTTCTCCTACAGCCGAACCAGGGGTATTCATAATTGTGGCAACTTGAGAAGGATCGGTGATCTGCAACGAATTCTGATCTAACTGGAATTGAGTTTGGTGTTTAGCTTGGCCCTTATGCATGGAACTGGTAGTGACGAGCGTGAGGTCGGAAAAGAGGTCCTCGTCAAGGGGTTCAGAAAGATGAGAAGATGAAGTAGGCATCGTTACCGTAGAAGAAGCTGAATTACTGGCAGTAGTGGTAACTTTATCGGCTGTGGAATTGAGGGGGTGAGGCTGATTAGAGATATCTGGACCAGGATGATCACTATCTTGGTCTTCGGGGGTGGGAAGGATTTGGATTGGGTACTCGGAAGGGTCGAAGAGTACCATTCCTTCAAACAAAGAATCATTCTCATTTTCATCCTCTACCTGATTATTCAGCTCCACGTCCATGACCTCTGGCACTGCGTTCTTCAATTCCTAGAAAGTCGATCAGTGCGTCTCTCCGCTCCTCGGCGCAACCCTAGCTCCCACCCGAAGTCTAATTTTAATGCTTCTCCTTTTGGTACATTCGGCAAGTTCTTCCACTCTTGAGATCGAAGGCGACGAACTGTTTCTTTCGTAAACAACCCCCATAAAATAAAATAAAATAAACTCTACAATAAGAGAGAGTGAGTTCTCCACGATATATGGTGAAACTAAATAATGGTCAATTCTACTAAAAACTAACAAGATAAAATAAAATAAAAAAATTACGAAAACTCTACGATGTTAGGTGAAACTAAATAATGGTCAATTTTCCGCAAGCCAAAAAATGAATCTGAAGGTGAATCAATTAGAGACTAAATTACACAAACAAACAAAAAAAACATTTAAATTTATTATTTGAAAAGTTCCAATATTACTCTTATCATCTCATAATCGTTTAAAAAGTATCATTAGTATCATTGAATGGACTATATGCTGGTATCTCTTTTGAATAAAATTCATGGACTATATGCTGGTATCTCTTTTGAATAAAATTCAAGGTACCTCATTTTAATAATATTCAAGGTACCTCATTTTAATAATATTCTTGAACTTGAACAATAGTCCCGACTCATTAGCCATTCAAGAAGTTAATCTTCTTCCTCAATCTCCAAATTCTTCCATCACAAAAATTAATGGAAGTGAAAATTAATGGAAGTTTCACTTACAACGATTATGTGCCTGCTTTGTTTGGTTGAGTTGTATGCATTTTGTATTCAAACTTTCATAGAAGATAGAATTAACGTAGAGAAAGGAGAAAATCAAATAAAAGTTGACCCATTACAAATGACGTTTACATTTTACCATCCGTTCATGGACTTACAACTATTCTGTTGGCATAAATAATGTGAAGAAAAAAGAAATATACATGATATAAACGTATAAATATAAATGTGAACAAGAAAAATATAGGGGCGGCCAAGGTTTCTACACGAGCTTTATAACATCTAAAATTGATGGGTGCAAGGACAAGGAAATGGATAAGTCTAGACTGTAAACACAACATAAACAATACCATGACCTAACAAACAAAGTGAAATTTATCCTTTAGTCTCACCAAGTTCAATATCCTTCACTGGTTTGGATTCCATTCCGTCCTTCAGAAGTCTAATTTCCTCTTCCGTCAGGCTATGTTTCACATTGATATTAGTCTTCACCCCAGATTGCTTCTCAACCTCCACAGCCCAACTATAAATGACCATACCAACAACGGCTAAAATCATGCCTGATATATTTTTCAAGGTCAGTTCTGAATCGAAGAGCAGCCACCCCAATGTGAGAACACACACTGTTTTCATGTGACCTAACACCTGGAAGGACACAGCTGAGAAACGCCCAATGCACAGATATTGACTCACATTGCAGAACACAGCAAGAGTGCATGAAAGGAGGATGAACAACTGCAAGTATGTAGCATCCCCAGAAATTAGTTGAAAATTGCGTACATAAATGAATGGCGTACATAAATGAACCGCCTTCTACTTACAAGGGCACCAGAAGACATTTTATAGTTCAGTAGAGATTTGTCGCTAAGGTAGTAATCAATAAATGGTCCGAGAAGCAGGAGAGAGAGGGCTTGAATAGGTGCTGTCTTGCTCAGCAATTCAAAAGACCCAATGGAGTACTTCTTTTGCAGTGAACCTATAGTCTGTTGCAAGAATATGGTTTAGCGATGCGATGACACTAATATAACAACTGCCCTTACCTTTATTATCATTTCAGACGACACAAAAGGACTCAAGATATCAAGGTTAACACAGATAAGTATTCTGACCATGAGATAGTTATTGTTCCAAGAATCAGAATGTCTTTATCCAAAACAACCTCCATTACAAAAAAATTGAACAACTCCCAATTACCATTTCTGATAAGATATTTTAATAACATTGCAACAGGTTTGCCTAGAGAGGAGACCAAGGGTCTCTCACTCAAGGTCGTTACACTGAAACCAGTGTCCCATAACCTTCAAAGTTTCTGTTTTGCTTCTTTCAGCGGGATAAACAAAAGGGAAAAAGAAAGAAAAACAGTCATACCCTAGCTACAAACCAATTGATCAACATATACATAAAGTAGAAGGAATAAAGGCTGAACTGGAGACGACAAGATTCAGCCAAGTAGATATGTGAAGGAGTACTCACAATTTGCTGCAAAGATGTTGACAAGACGGCTATGCACGCACACAGAAAACCTTTGAGATTAACTTTTACATCAGTGACAGTGCAAACTCCCACACCAATTACTACTACTACAACAGCAGTTTTCACTTCTTTTGAGTAGTGCTTGTTATGAAGGATCCACTCCATCACACAAACCACAGGGATCATACTAAGTTTCGAGATCTGAAACAAAAATATTCTCCAATCGTAAAAATAAGAAAGGAAAGAGACCAAAACAGAGAGAGACAGAGAGAGAGAGAGAGAGATTGCATGAATACACAATTAGGTAGACATTGTTTAACTTGTCATACCCAATGCATTCTTATAAACTAAATTAAAGTGCAAACGTTGTCAAGAGTGTCATATAGTAAGTTCTTACTTGGTAGAATCCCACTGAATTCAACATGAGACTAAAGTTCATTCCCGTGATAGACATATTTGCGACAATAGAAAACCAAAAGAGCTCCCACAAAGGAACATGCTTTGATGAGGAATAACCAGTGGCATTCGAGACCAGACCGACTAGTGCAGTCACCGCAAAGTGGAACCCAGTCAAAGTTGTGGCTGAAAATGAAAAGAATTCAAATAACCTTATTTAATTAGTAGGAAGGAAACAAGGATCCGCGCAGTAAATTTCAAGATGAAAGTTCGGTTAACTAAGCATACAAAACTGTCCCGGCTTGCAAGTAAGGCCATAAAACGTCACTTGCAATATGAGAACGGGGCAAAAAAATTGGCCACAAGTGCAAAATCGCCATTGAGCGTACAAACGAGTTGAGAAATTCCATCGTAACCAAGAGAACAGATCCTCAATTGCCCGCATTACATGAGATGAACCGAGAGTGAAGCGAACGGAAAACCCATGGATAGGATTTGGATCGGTGAAAAACGAAAATTGGCGCAAGGAGTTTTAAAAGGTTGTAATAAAAAAATTAAAAAAAAAAATTAAAAAAAGAAGAAGGTGCATACTCAGCAATCAGAGATCTATAGGAGAGGTGTGCGAGGAAGAGTAAGAAGCTCACCGAAACTGAAAGCGTAACCATTGGCAGACATGAGCTGCTTGTTGGCCATGATAATCCCGACTGAGCTGATGATATTCATCGCCCATGCCCCAACATCCGACACCGGCGATGATTTCTTATCACCCTCCATTTCTCTTTCTTCTTTCTCTCTCGTTCAAATGAAGTGAAATTCGGAAACAGGAGTGAATGAGAGAAAACGAAAAGGAAGAGATTGGAGGAGGGAGAGAGAGAGGAATTGAAGGACCCTCCAAATAACAGATGCCCAGATCGGATCTTAAAATGTGTTTACAGATAAGTGAATGTACAAGACGATGGAAAGACAGGCGAGACAGCAATAGGGACTAGGGAGGCAAAGCAATACAATTTTCAAGGAAGGGGTAAAAAAGGAAAGAATATGAAGGGGTTATACGTTTTTTCCCGAGTCTCACACCTCCCACCCCAATTCTCCATTCCGCTCCGTTGCACAATTACTATAACACCCACCCAACCCACACCGTGTGACCGATCTGTGACGGCGAGGAGGCGTACGCACGCGTCGCATGGGGCTTCTCACGTTTCCTTTCACTCCTCACTCCTCCTCCCTCACTCTTTTATTATTATTATTTTTATGGAGAAAAAAAAAAAAAAAACCCTCCGACGTTTCATTAATTTCATACTAAATGAAAAATACATATCATCAAAATCTAGTTAGCATAATCATCAAAAAAGTGAATAGAGGCCACTTAGAAACCAATTTTGTAGTAACTAATTCTAAGCAAAATTTAAACTTTAGAGACCAACCATGTCACATGTAAACAAACATAAATATCAAACATAAAAAATGTTGGTTTAAAAAATGAAGAGATCCAGATGATAATTAAATATAATTTGTAGAGGTGTCTATATGTTGATATTAATATTGGATTTTGTTTCTTAAGCGGTGAGTAAGAGTTTTATTGAGCTACTTTTGGAAGAAAATCATCCATGAAGGAGATTTTTAGTAAAAAAAAAATTCCAAAACTTCTTTAAAATTTCCCTCCATAGGTGGTGGTTTTACTCATTCGTGATCCATTAGATTCATTGTTAACAGTACTACATTTTGGAGAAAGAACCAAATTGAATCATGGACAACCAATGTTGTGGGCTGAATTAGGATTAGCCATTAAATTCACTATCCCAAGGTAAAGCCCAAGCTCCAAGCCTATATATGTAGAATTATTTATGGTATTGTAGGGTTGTTGTCATGTTTTATTGGTGATCAAAAGTATATGTTTTGGGACATAACTATATGCATGTTATAATTTATGAATGTAAGGAGTGTGGTAACAGTTATAGGCTATATGTTTTAGGTAACCAACCACTAATAGTCACATGAGTTAATTGCTAATAAATGGTTAATGAAAAGTAATTGCTGAAAATGATTTTTAGTGAATAAATTACATGTTGTGTCTAGGATAATCAACCATAAGGGTTTTTCAATTTTGATCGGTTAAATGATAATTTTGGCTTGATGGCAGTTTCCTTTTAAAGGTTTTTGTTGTCCAACTGTTTGGTTAAATTGGATGGCTTTTAAATTTCATTTAGAAAAGGATAAATTTCACCCAAGTGTCTCTCAACATGTTTTTATGTATTTTAAATTATAAATTTTCAGTGTTAATGACGTTGCGGATTAGTAGTGTGCCGCGATCTAATTACTAATTAGAATGATGTTCTAATAACCTATAAATAGTAATTTTGGAAATATCACAATCATCTTTAATCCCTCAAAATTAAATTTATTGTAAGATACATGAGATGGGCGTAGTTGGAGTCGGCAAGACACATGCGCCCCCCAGACACCAGTTGCATTAGTTTAACACCCTCGCACCGCTCATTCCTCATCGTGAACCTCACCTTCCTTCCATTGCAATCTGTGCTCCAAACCGACAAAGATTGCACCCATTTCTTTTTTGTAGTTTTAAGACAAAGTGCTACAGGAATGATAATTCTTAATTTTACAATCTATGATGGATTATATTGCTAACATATTTAATACAAAGTGCGCCAATAATGTATCATTTTTGTATCATTGGTCAAATACATTATGGATAAGTCCAAAATGTATCTTTCTTATAAAAAAAATGTAACCAACCATGCTTTGGTGGTCAAAACCTTAGCATTATCGAAAGCATTTCATCATAAACAAATACATGCATGTTCTGCCCCTACCATCAACTTTTTGCCCACTAAAATTTGCGGTGAAAAAATGATTGGAATAGAGTTTGATGATGTGGCAGTGATTGTGGATTGAAGAGTTGGGTGTTGAAGTGAAAAGTGATTTCGTTGAAAGAACGGATATGATTACATATTATTTAAAATTTGTGAATTCGAAGGATTAGCAATGGGCATGGGCTGGTATGAATGAAGTTTCCTTTTTAATTAAGAAAATAGAATTTTCCAAAATGGAGGACGTAGAATTTAGTGGGGAATTAGATAACAAAAGCGAAAAGAGAGACATTGTGTTCAGGTAAACAGGGTCGTCCATGCTATCAACTACGGCGGCGCCGCTTCAGATTGTCAACTCTTCCGCCTTCTCGTCGTATTTCAGTTCAATTCAGTTCATACTGTAATGGGCCACTCCCTTTGACTCTGACTTGCATATTTAATTAGGTTGCCCATCCACCGTCTTCAGCCCCTCATTAATCCAATTCAAGCGTCGTCGATCACCCAAGTCGTCGCAAATTAACCGGAACTTAGAATCAGATCAGGATTTCGGAAGAGGATAATTCCCTCTTCCAGCAATTCAACATGGGTAATCATCTATACATCTCAACGCTGAAAGAATGAATCTCAGATTACAAAAGGGAAAAAAAATTAGAGTTGCTTACAGAGGAGAAATGAAAATTAACAAATATATGAGAGGCGGGGAGGGAAGGGAGCAGGGAGGTATCCACGTAAATCGGGGGCTAAAATCCCTACTAACTCCCTAATCCCTACAGAACGGCGCCTTCATAGATGGTGCTCAATTTGAGTTTAAAGGAACGAACAGCCATTTTTGCTCTTTTCGACGTCAATCTCTGCAATTTTCTAACGGAGGGTGAGGCAGAGGTATCCGCGGCGGCGTTCTTTTTGGAGGGCTCCTTGGAGATGATGTGGTCGGAATCCGAGAGGTTGAGGAGGGGAGAAACACGACCCTTTTTACGGCGATCGTTGGGGGAGGCATTTTGGAGGGCGAGGCTGGCTTTGACAGCCAAGGCAGCCATTTGGGAGGCGCTCAATCGATGGTGGAGGTTGGAGGAAGGAAGGAGGAAATAGATCTGATTAGGGAGAAGCTGTTCATCGAGAGGCAAAGGGGGGATGAAGTCATCGTAGTATAAGCGGTCGGAGTTGCAAAGAAAGGAGTCGGAAAGTGAAGAAGAGGAGTTTTCGGTCTGGAGAACGCGGGAGACGGAGATGGGAACAGGGTATTCGCGGAGATGGCCTTGCAAAGAGATCACTTTGGCGGTGGGAGGAGGTGGAGAAACAGAAGAGGGTTTGGGATGATTGAGGCAGTCGGATAAACAGGCACCCATCAGTATCAAGCCTAGCTGTTGCTGATGTCTGTCTACGTTTCAGACACGGAATTTTGGGGGATTATGGTATAACCAGGAGGAGGAGGAGGCGAGGAGGAGGCGAGGAGGAGAAGGAGAAGGGGAAGGAGAAGGAGAAGGAGAAGGAGAAGGATATTGGTATAACCAGGAGGGGATGGATCATTTATTGAAATGTGATGCTGGTGCGAGGTAAGCGATGAGGAAACAGAAAATTGGTCATCGTCCACGTCATAAAACTACCTTTAAACCTTCAACGCGGCCTTTCCATTTAACGCAAATACCAATCAAAAAGAAACCCGACGTAGTCAACGGACACGCCAAACCAACACACGCCCACACAAAAATAAAAATAAAAGATGACCACAATCTTGTTCCCCAAGCACATACAAATTGAAAAATGCCCTGCATAATCCATCAATTTTTTTATTTATTTAAAAACACACTACCTTCTTCTTGTCTAATGTTTTTTAAGCTTCTAAATAAAGTAATTCCCATAACAATTGTCTCATAGGAAAATAAAAGGCCGTGATTAATTACAACAATGCAAAGGACACAACGGTAATTATATATAATTATTACCTTTTATTACTTTAGGTCCTCAGTAAGTAGCAACGGTAAGGACACAGTTCTCTTTCCCTGTACTTCCACTTCCACGCTCCAAAGAAGCAGAAGCAGAGGAAGGCACAAACTACCCCTCATCAATTTTCTCCGTCTCAACCCATTCATAATCATATTCATAATACACGAAAAGAAAAGAAAAAAAGAAAAAAAGTCCCTTAAAATTGCAAGGCTAGAGCTCAAAGTAGAAAGAATGAAAAGAAAAAAAAAGTCCCTTAATCCACTCATTACAATCTTAAAGCAACTATGTATCCCTTTTCTATCACTGGATTCAAAGTGACTGTTCTTTTACCACGACCAGTACCGGGTAGATTAGTAACGGAGGAGGAGTAAGTTAGTAACTGAGGAGTAAAGTTTGGGCAAATATAATTCCCCTCCCCCATCATTGCATCCACATTCAGAAAGTCCAGCCCCTCGATCGAATTTGCCCCCAATTCTGTCTACCACATAAATTCATGACTTCTACTTACAATTCACACATTCCTACACCCAAATTTGGAACTTGGAAGATGATGAAAGCTGATGGATGTTCTCGAGCTGTAACCATATCAGGAGAAGAGCTTCGCATTAGCAGTACCGATGGCGTGGCGCTCGAACTCCTTAATGGTGTCAGCAAGCTTCTTCATCTTGTCGTCGTACACAAAAGGGGTTTGGTTGAAGATTGTGACGTTATGAATGGCGGTGTTGGGGAGGAATTCCCTGCACAGTTCCCCTCTCACCATGATGGAGTTGTGGTAATGATAGTATCTAATCCTGGACTCTGTTTTGTGCGTTGTATTTCCAATCACATTTTCCGACATGTGTACCCCCGTAGCATACGCGTTCTTGGCTTGTATCGCGTACTTCCGGTCTCTCCAGATTCCAGACTTTATGTCTTTAAACAGCAGCTTTTCAAACCCCCATTTCCTGACAAGGGGAACAAATATATATATATATATCAATTCATTCATCACTATCTACATCCTACCTGACCCCAGATCCAACAGGTATCTTCCACACATAATTAGATCGAACACGTACCTGGAGTAACTTTGAGCGGAATCGTTCAAACACAGCATACTGGACATTGGGTTCTGCTCGATTGTAAATTGAGTATATACGGAAAACTCTTCCAACACGGACTCCAAGCTACTCCCCTCGGGCAAATACATGTACTCGTCCACATCGAAATAAAATGTCCAGTTTGCCGCGTGTCGGTACCGGTGGAGGCAGTCGTTCACTACCAGAAACTGATTATAGTAATACCCATCGTACTCTGACTGTGCTCTGATGTCCTGAATTGTGACCCTTCCAGCTCGCACCCACGGCTCGAGGACAGCCCTGACCTCTGGGGACACCCCGCCGGCGTCGTGAAACACAAAATGGGATTTAGACCCGAAGAACCAGGCATGGTATGCCATCCATTCTCTGATCCTGGCGGCACTGAGGTTCCCGTAGAGAGACGAACCGCAGTACAAATATTCGTAGTCATAAGGAGGACGGAACTTGGAGGCGTTGTAAGAGCCTGGCAATTCCTCAAGAGCAGTGAACTTTTCGTACTTTTTCTGAGACTGACCGTAGTAGGCATTAACCGTAAGCTTTCCACCCGAATTGTCGTGATTGGGATTGAGGGGAAAAGTGCAATTGACGACGACGACGGTGTAGACACGGCCATAGCCCCAATCGGGAAGAATCTTGTAGGCCTTGGCCCTGATGGAAGATCCATTGTTGAAGAGCCACTCGCATTTGTACCAAGGATGGCCGTAGACGTGAATGGGTTTGGAAGCAAGGCCGACGACGGCAAAAGTGCGTGGTCCGCCTCTATAGGCTCCCATTAAAACGAATAGAGCCGCGGCATTACCAAATGGCTGGAAAATTCGGTTGTTGGGATCGGTTGGGAGGGTGGTGGAGTACTTTTTGGCAGCGGCGGATGCAGTAAAGGGGAGAGAGGTATTGGGAGGAATGGTGAGATTGGCGAGGGCGGCGTCGGTGGTGTTGGTGGGGGCGGAGCAGGAGCGGGCGGTGGTGAAGAGGAGATTCTGGTAGTAAGGAGGAAGATTCCAGAGGAACATGACAAGAGTGAGGGCGAGACATGTGGCGACCAGAGGCTTGGTCTCGAAGCAGGTGAAGAGTTTGCCGACTTGGGCGTCGCCGATGGAGGTAGCCGGACCGTCTTTCCTCATGAAGGCAGGAAGGCAGGCAGGAAGGCAGGAAGGAAGGCAGAAAGGGGAACTTCAGTCCTTGGCCTCCGCCAGTCTCTTTTGCTCTGTCTGTCGGTGCGATGAGATTAGTGGCCATATGCGCATATCATATCATATTTAGCGTATTCATTGCTCTTTTTTCCTTTTTTTTTTTTTTTTTTTTTTTTTTTTTTTTTTTTTTTTTTTTTTTTTTTTTTTTTTT